AATAGTATAATCATGCTAGAGGCAACAACAATAAGTAAAATAATAATGCAAAAATAATGGGAGGCGAACATATAGTGGGGGAATACAACATAAAGAGTGAGAATAATGAAAGGACATAATTAAATCAGAAATCCTTAAACGAATTGAGCAATCAAGACAACAATAAAAACTGCACGGCATCACCCTTCGTACTTTTACTCTCAACCTCACCAAATAACAAATAAGACTGCACGACATCACCCGTCGTGCTTTTACTCTCTTCCTCACAATATAAATAATTTATGCACGGCATCACCCTTCGTGCTTTACACTCTTCCTCACAATATAAATAAATTATGCACGGCATCACCCTTCGTGCTTTACACTCTTCCTCACAATATAATTAAATTATACACGGCATCACCCTTCGTGCTTTACACTCTTCCTCACAATATAATTAAATTATGCACTGCATCACCCTTCGTGCTTTACACTCTTCCTCACAATTCACAGAATCAATAACAGCGGATAGAGAGTAGTTTCACAAGAAATCAATATTTCATAAATGATTACTTTCACAATTTAACATCTCAACCTCGAATCAACATTCATAATTTTATCGACCTTGTGGAACCGGATACAATCCTTCCAACATTTCAACAACAACAATAAGCATGGATAGCCAGATTTAAGACTACAAATTTGCAAGAAATGAAATTTAACTCGCATACTATGACTCGACCACAACGTATAGATGCTCGTCACCTCAACTATACGTCGTATTCAACAACAAAACACGTAGTAAATACTCACACAATACCTATTCCCTCAAGCCAAAGTTAGACACAACACTTACCTCGCTCCGAAGGCCATTTAATTCTCAATCCCAACTTTTCCTTTGGAATTCTCCTCCAACCCACTCGTATCTATTCCAAAATGACCCAATAGTATCAAATATTATTAAAGAAATCAATTACATTGCATAAATCTGGATTTTCTAAATTTTCCCCCAAAAAGTCAAAAATCGACCTCGGGTCCGCTTAGTCAAAACCTGAGGTTCGGACCAAAATCCATTTACCCATTTACCCCCGAGCCCGAATATATAATTGGTTGTGGAATCCGACTTCAAATCGAGGTCTAAATTCCCAAATTCCCGAAATCCCTAATTTCTACCCTAACCCCTAATTCTACCCTTAAAACTCTAGATTTTTGGTTAAAAATTCAAGAAATGTAATGGGTAATTGAAAGAAAATGGTTTAGAATCACTTACCAACACTTTGGGGAAGAAAATGACTCTTGAAAATCGCCTCTACCCGTTTGGTTCTTGAAAATGTTGAAGAAATGGCTCAAACCCGTGTTTGGAGTCTGTTTTAAGCCACTGGACACGCCTTCATCGCGTTCGCGAGAGGCCTGTCGCGATCGCGATGCACAGCGGCCTAAAGCCTTTGCGTTCGCGAGTCTTCCTACGCATTCGCATAAGGCAACTCCCCCTAGCCTTCACGTTTGCGACCCAGTGGACGCGTTCGCGTAGAAGAACATGACCAACCCTCCCCCAGGTCCCCAAGTGCTTCGCGTTCGTTATGGTCAGGTCGCGTTCGCGAAGGGTAAATCCCCATCACTTCGCGTTCGCGACCAGGCCTTCGCGTTCGCGACCAGGCCTTCGCGAAGAAGAAGTCTCAGCCTCACTAGTTTACTCTTCGCGTTCGCGAGAGGACCTTCGCGAACGCGAAGAAGGATATGCTAGACACTAGAATCTGTAGAAACCAGATTTTTCCCAAGTCCAAAACATCTCGTGTCCTATCCGAAACTCACCCAAGCCCTCAGGGCTCTAAACCAAACATGCACACAAGTCTAAAAATATCACACGAACTTGCTCGCGCGATCAAATCGCCAAAATAACACCTAGAACTAAGAATTTAGCACAAAATCAAATGAAATTCTAAAGAACACTTTAAAATCCATATCTTCTCAACTGGACGTCCGAATCACGTCAAATCAACTCCGTTTCTCACCAAATTTCACAGACAAGTCTTAAATATCATAATGAAACTGTACCGGACTCCGAAACCAAAATACAGGCCCGATACTGACAATACCAAATATCGATCAATTCTTAAAAATAATTAATTTTCAGACTTTTAATTTTCATCAAAAATTCATAACTCAAGCTAGGGATCTCCAAATTCGATTCCGGGCATACGCCCAGGTCCCATAACTCGATACGGACCTACCGGGACTGTCAAAATACAGATCCGGGTCCGTTTACCAAAAATATTGACCAAAGTCAACTTTTAAGGCAAAAATTCTTATTTTCATTAGTTTTCAACATAAAAGCTTTCCGGAAACCTGCTCGGACTGCGCACGTAAATCGAGGAGGGTAAAAATGAGATTTTTAAGGCTTAAGAGAGCAAATTCGAATTCTAAAACATAAGATGACCTTTTGGGTCATCACAATTGTGGTGCTTGGGACATGGTGATGGCTTGGGAAAATGATATAAAAATTGTTTAGGGAAAAAAAAAAAGCGGTGGGTTTAAAAGACTAATGAGGCGTAGCTGCGTATGAAAAGTACATATAAGTGTGTGAATTAAGAGTATATATATGTTTTTATGGTAAAATTTGGGGTGTTACAACGGTTTGGACGTAGTTTTGGCTTGGGAAAAGGCTCAAAATATACCACTGAACTTAATAAAAAAGCTCAAATATGCCACTAAATTTAATGAAAATGCACATATATGCCACTCGTAAAGGGGGCTGAGAGTGAAGGGAGATGGTAAGCAATGAAGGGTTTAGATGATGCCCGTGGCAAAATTTGATAATAGTAAGGTTTGTTAGTAAAAATGGCATATATGAGCCAATAATGTAAGTTAGTAGCATGAACATATTCAACTTTTAACGAATACATAAATAGGCCATTTTTTAAAGTTCGATGGCGTATCTAAACCTTCTTTGAATTTTTAGAGGTGTATGAAAATGAGGCGGTGTCTAATATTTAGAGATAGCTGAAAATAAGAATCATATAGACAAGGTCGAGAGAGTATGACTTTTGGGAAAATTATCTAATTTCTGTCTCTACTGTCGTTGGAAAATATCAACTATATACCTTCGATTTAATTTGTTTGCCTTGAACTGAAAAAAACAACTATTGAGCCAACATATTTTTCACTAGCAGATTACTTAAAATTCTCTGTTGATAGCAAAGGCCGTCAACAATCTTTTACAGCGAATAAATCCAGTGCAATCTTATAGGTAGGATATGAGGAAGATAGTGTGTATGCAAACCTTACGCCTATCTTGAGAAGATAGATGAGCTGTTTTCGATAGACCTTCAGCTCAAGGAAAGATGAAAAAAGAAGCAGTAACAATAACAAGATAGTAAGAAAATCAAAAGCGAAAGAAAAAGCAAATAGTAATAGAAATCTAAGAATAAGAAAATACAAGAGTAATACTAATACTATTAGTAAGGAAAAGAGAAACGCTCGACTACCTACGAATCTTCTACCGTAATTCTAGGCCTAAACAATCTTTTCTTTATTCTTTTTATTTTCCTAAATGTTGGAGACACAGCTATTTGCCAGTGGACATGTTACTTGTAATACTAGTCCAAGAATGGACTAGTCCGTTTCATACTTCAAATTAAGAGGCTCAGCTGACTCAAAAGATAAAAGATCTAGGAAAGTGTCGAGTAGCACAGCACTTTTATTGAGGAGAAGCATAGGAATGCAATAAATTTCATTTGAAATTTCATCTTAATCCCACAATTTCTCCTCTCTCTTTTTTTCATTTTCAAGTCACTTATTTCCTGTTTAAGTCTATTAATTTTTTGGAGGCTTCTTCCTTGTATTAATCTTTATTAAACTTGAAATTTCAAAAATATTAGCTATTTAAAGGAATTTGTTATATATAGGTAAAAATGCTAAGTTTATTGTTGAATAACCTTTACATTTTACAACTAATCCCAATTAGTGAAGATGAAATGTCATATGATATGATGGGTTGCCCTAAACAGCATAGTGAATCTAAAATGCAGTACACCATTTTATCAACATTGAGTTGTATACGAAGTTGCACGTGAGCTTCCTTTGATTTGTATATTAATCACTTTACCTTATGATTATATTGTTAATTAACCTAAAAAGTATATGCCCAGTAAACATATACAAAGTTGAAAAGATCTAAACATACAACCACAAAGCCAGCATATCTTTTCTCCAACACTTAATTAATGTTTTCATTGACTTGAATGCATCTACTTTTTTTTAGTTTCTAACTCTTTATTATGCCGGGAAGTGGTATGGACCACCCCACAATTTTATTTCCATTTTCCTTTTTATATTCTTTATTTACGTGGATAAGATCTTTTTTCTTCTCAAACTGCTAATGCCTAACAGTGGGTCATCCCAAAAAAATCTTTTCACTTTGAGAATTATCTTAAATTGATGGTTTACAGTAATGCTGCTTACAAATTACACAAGCAAAGAGTCAATATGACTTTATCTCAGGAGAGGGGTAGGAGAACACTTCACAAAATGCCTCACTGAGATGAAGTCTATCCCTTAGCCTAGTCTATATTCATAGCTGACGCAACTCCGCACTAACACCTTACTATTACTTTCATTGAAAAGATAAAGTGGGCAACTTCACTAGCCCCAATTTTAGGCCTAAAAGCTCATAAACAAATTGTAGTGAAAAGTTTCATTTTTCATGCCGTCGCATGATGGATGTGAACTCCACTCTTCGTTATAAAGCTCTACTGATGCAAAGAAAATCAAAGTTAGAGTAATCAATTTGTCGAGAACATGTTCTGCTGCAATTACAGTTATACTTCTTCTACCTCTGGATCAGATATGCATTCTATGATGTTTTTGTGATAAATTCAGTTTGCCAAAGGAGTTATGAAACTCATTTATGTCATCTCCTCTACTTCCGTTCCAAACCCTACTACCACGCAAACACATCTAAGGCTCTAAATAGTCTTCAGCACACACATTTAAGGCCCCATTATGAAGTCTTCAAGAATAAATTAACTCAAAAGGTATTGAAACCTATTAGCATTGCATCCCCAAAGAAATCAGGACAAGGAGATTAAAACTTGCATTTGAAGCAATACATGACTGGATATTACCATCTGTCTAAACTCATTTTACTTTGAAAAATACAAGTACAAGAAATCTGCTAACCCCTACATCGGTTCCAAAGAAGCTTTCCACTAACCCCTACCCCAAATTGAATGACTAATTTCAAAGCATTCCTCAATCTGTATGTATCACCACTGCTTCTTCATATACATGTTGGTACACATACAAAAGGAAGAAACTATTTGAAGAGGATATTCATCATTCATGTCCACAGACAGCAAACATTCTCTAGTAACAATTAAGAACAAACTTGTGAAGCTCATGAATTTCACCACATCTGCCTGAGAACAACAAAACCACCAAAAGAATCGGATTACTGTTAAGAATAATTGGTAAATGGTACAAGAGCTTGACTAAATTTTAAGAACTAATACAATGACCGTGTAACAAAAACAGACAATCTCACCTCAATAACATATTTGTGGTCTTAATTCAACCAGGCAAAGAGCATAAACAGAAAAACAGAAACTGGATCACGTTTCATGTATTAGACAAGGAATCCAAGAGAGAATACGCATCAAAATTTGAATAAAATCTTTTTGACCCATTTGAGTCACCAAAGGCAGCGAATAGCCTGTGGCGGTTATAGTTATTTGTGGTCGTAATTCAGATTAACCTAAAAACATACATATCCTAACCAGATCATATAAATCAGTTCGGTATGACATTCAAGTATTTTATGTGAGCTGGTATTGTAACCAAATTAAGCTTCAGCACGACAAACAGTAAGGTATCCAGGTAGGACAAGTTGACGGAGATGACTTCATTGTGATGTGAATATACCTTTGTTGACAAAACCAATGGTCAGTCTTTCAGTGCACACACTCACTAGATGCCCACAGTCAGAGATCGCTCATTAGACTAACAACAGAATAGACGCTTGATTTATTTTTCTTCTACATCCACAAGTTGTAGGCTCGCTGTAGTATCTTTTCTTTACCTTTAAATCTCACTTTTTCTCTTCAATTCTTTCCTTACTCACTCTGACTCACAATCAAATGGTTCTGAAAGGTAACTGGAACTCTGTACTCACAAAATATATAAATCAATGTTTGATTGAATATATACAACGAATGGCTCAAAAAAGTTTTAGGAGAAAAGGAAAATAAAGCGAGGGTTGAGCTGCTTGTATATGCAAATTCAAGTAGTAACATAAACTATATCTATCTTAAGACTTGACAACCAAAAATGATGGTCTGAAAAATATCAACAGCCAGTTTATCTTGTATAAACAATTGAAGAATTCTGACAACAGCACCAATAAAATTATCAACCTTCTTGGGTCATCGAATGTTTCCTCCTCCAACTCTCATTTTTACAACAAAAATTCTTCAATCACGTTTATGAAATACAACTGCATATGATTTTATTACACCTTTAGACATCCATTTTCCAGACCGAACATATAGGTACTAGATTTGCATCAAATTTGTGACATTTAAAATAATGCAAATAGCTGAATTAGAGAGCGTAAGAAACAATATCATCAAGGAGAAAAAAAAATACAAAGGCGGCTTACCGTTTGAAGAACTCGGAAGCACATCGAAACCCGTTATAGGTAATAAACCACAATAATACAAGGACCAATGTATCTAAGATTGATTATGAAAATCCAAATCGAATAAATCTGATCCATTAAACACTCAGCAGTTCGAGGAATCAATAGGTTGACAAAATGAATAACAGAAACTGATAGAAAGCAAAAGGAGAATCAGATCTAAATTGAAAATGTAAGGATACTGAAGAGACAACGTTCCCACAAGTCAAGCATGTACAGACCAAAAGTGACATTGTACAGATACACTTTCCGCTGAACCCAATTCATCTCCTCTCTCAGCTCCGTTTTCTATACAGAGATTCAAACAAAATAATTGGTGATTTTTGGTTTTATACTTTTTTGGAGTCGGACTCAAATTCGCTGTAATGGTTGAATCTTCCTTCCTGCCGCCATTTAACACTGGGTGGTGTGTAAATTTGTAATTCACCAAATTGACCTCGTCGCAAATGCTATGGGTACGTCCGTACGTAGGTAGAAAAACACAAAAAGAAAAGCTCTACTAACATAATGTTTAATATCAACGAATTAAACTTTTCTGATTGCTAAACTTTAAGTATTTTCTTTCAGTGTTGTATAAAATGAGATTAAAAGACAAAGTTTTCCCGACAATCCGAACCTAACGCCTTGCTCTAATAATAAGTAAAAACGCCGCCCATAAAACAGTGGCGGGAACAGGCCAGTACATGACAATTTATAAGCATTAATAGAAGATATAGTCAACTTTAAATTTTCCCTAGAGTGGGGAATCATTACCCTGAATCGACAATTTGTTAATGCTCTCTCATTTATCATCACAACAATTTCAAATTGTAAAATCCATATAGCATATCATCCAAATAGAACAATGTTATTTAAGCGGCACTAGAAGAAGTAAAAACAATACATTACACTAACAAACAAAATTGTTCTTCTTGGCTAGGGAACAATGAAGTACATGACAACCTGGGTCTATACTAACATAATTATAAAAAAATACAAACAAGCCAATAAATATTCCTGTTTGATATTTTACACCAGCTTTGATGACACGAACAAACTTCAAAACCAGAAAAACGTAGCCCAAAAAGGAAAAAGAAAAAGGAAAGGTAACAGGGCGACTATAATCCCTCATTCCAAGAGGAGATAATTTCTAAAGCCATGCAATAGCTCCCCATATAGTAACACTCTGAAGGTTATCTATCATAACTATAGTGGTTAGAGCTAAGCCTCATAGTCTCCCTCAGAGAACTTGTTCTCCGGGTAGAAGACAGCTACAACTTGGTTACCACCGAATTTTCTTCCATTCAGTCCTTGCCGAGCTTTGCTGGAACTGTCAACATCTGCATACTCCAAAAATACCTGAAAAAACAACCCGGAAACTAGTTTAGCAATTATACATTCACAAGTACAAACCACCAACACCAAGAGAAAAAAACAGTACAAATGTATTGAAGCCCTTTTGCAATGTTCCAAGTCAGGCAACACTTAAGGAAGCAATAATAAATAACAGAAGTGAAAAACACCAAATAACAGTCATTTTTCGGCAGGTCGCTATAATGAAAATAAGATACAAGCTGAATCTCCTTATTTCCAACATATACAGGACAATAATCAGATTATAAACATAATTAACCTTGATGATGGTTTAAGAGATCAGCAGACAGGTACCTTTCCTAGTCCAGGTGTAGGCACACCATTAGGATTTGGACGTGGAATGACAACATTCACTAGAGCTCCTGCAAAGTAGCCGTACAAAAAAGCATATACAAGTTAAGATTCCAAACTCAAATTCCAGCCATAAGCTATGCTGAATATAGGAAACAGAAGACTTGATATTACCACTCACCGAATTTCTCACATTCAGTCCTCATATCTTCCAAAATATCTTGATAGTCATCATCATCATTGAGCTCATCCACAGTGACCACTTCAGTCAAGCACAAGACCTTCGTTGCTAATGCACCAGGTTGTAACATGAATCTCTATTAAAGAACATGACACTGAGAGTGAGCTACGCAGTCCCTGTATCAGCATATAGCCTAAGAACCTGAAAACTGAATGAAAGAGCACAGAAATATCTCACCTGCAAAGCTATCTGCTGTTGTGCATGCAACAATACACTCTCTTGCTCAGGGTTGGGTTGGGTTGTGCCCTGGTTAGCACGCCTAACAGTAAGAGTTTTATCGCCCATCTTAATTCCATTAAGCGCTGCACAAGCAATATCAGTAACAGACACATCCTGGTACACACAAAAAGCATAGCCTTTTGAGTTCCCAGTTTCTCTATCTTTGACAAGATCAAATCCTCGAAGTTGACCAAAAGACTCTAAAAGTTCCCTGATTTGTGATTCTGTAAAATAGTAGGGTAAACCACCAACAAATATGCGATCAGGACCTTCAAGCCCTCCCGAAGAACCTGGTGTTAATCCGACAGCTGCAAGGTTGAGGTTAGGGCACGGTTGGCTAGGACCAAGAGTAGCAGCCAGCGAAGGATTGTAATCACTGGGTCTTCTAACCTTAACTGGTCCGCCCTGAGCAAAACATACAGTGCAAACAGAGCAAATAGCAATCAGAGTTGGAATACATTTAAGGACATTTGCTTGACACAAAAAGACATGATGCTTTGGTTATATGTTATCGAACACCCGAAACCCCCCTTAAGTAATACATAAATAGTAACCAACAAAAAGAACAGGGTTTGCAGATTCCAGCTTATATAATGGGACGGGGCGAAGGGATGTTAGTTCGAAACTTCTCCTTGTGCTGAACAAGACTGGGAGGATCAGAGAGTTGGTTAGAATCCTGTGAAAACTAAAATCTTTCCTTTCTTTGCTTTCTCTTCAATAAACTATAAGTAGTAGAAAGCTAACATACAACACCTATTCAAGTCATATGACATTTAATACCTCAAAAATGACACCATCCAAAGCCATCGCGTTACTAGCCTCCTCTACAGATCTCATTTCAACAAAAGCAAACTTCTTCTCGTGGTTTATATAAACATTGACAACAGCATCCCCTGAAAATCTCAAATAATACTCTGAGCATCAAAATGGCAAATTTAGTGATAATAGCGAGGGAAAGCACATTAATCCTCGAACCAACCTGGACCAGCAGTGTTTCCTCCAATTGCATACATGACATGACTAAAGAAGGTAGCAACAGACTGCATGTAGATCAACAGTGAGCCAACATAAAAAGTACTCAAAGATACGCCACAAACAGAGTAATAAATTACCTAAAACCATAAAGTTAGTAAGTTCAACCCTATGATAATCCGTAATCTTGGAGGGCGAAAACTTGATTGTTACTTACATATACTGATATACACACATAAAAAAGCCTAATTTGTCCATCATAGTACGAAATAATTGCTATCAGTGAACAATGAAATGTCACCCGTTAATCACAGATATCAGAAAAGATCTACATCTCACTCTAATAGGACAAGCAAATTTCCTTTTTTTTTTCTCTTTATCAAGTTAATGCAAGAGAGGTTCTCTCTAAGGATTGTAAACTGAAGGGATATTCTCCCAAAAATTTATATTTATTTGCATTAGAGTTGTTGCTAGTTACTACATCTACATAAGAATAACAATCTAGCCAAAAAATGATAACTACGGAAGGTTCCCATTCTGCAGACATCAGAAGTCAATGTAAAGTGCCAGTGTTGATGTCAAAAAGTAATTGCAACGTACTGGAGAAGATGTGCAATGTCACAAAAATATGTATAACTACCAGCCCCCACAGCAGGAGGAAGTCTAATACCTGTTCATTTGCAGTAGGAGGAAGTCCACCAACATAAACTCGCCGAGCATGTCTGGTAGCCTGATAAAACATCATTCGAGGATATACTCAGGGTAAAAGAAGATGCCATTAGAGAGAGAGAGAGAGAGAGAGAGAGAGAGAGAGAGAGAGAGAGAGAGAGAGAGAGAGAGAGAGAGAGAGAGACAATAGGAAGTGCCCAACAAATTATAAACCTGCTGTGTCATTGCCTGGACTGGCATCATCGGGAGAGCTCCAAACTGAGAGAAGCCACAAAACAAATAAATGAGAATCACAATAAATCATTGGACATTTATTAAAAAGGGTCCATGACTATACCTGGCTTGATGCTAAAGGAAATATGTTAGAAAACAGTCCAGGAATTGCTGGGTTAGTCCCAGGAACTTGACCTGCACAGATGAATGAAATAGCATCTTATAAAATGAAAATAAGTATATACTTCAAATTCTAAGAGCAAGTGAATATTTATACACAATATTTTTCTTCTTTCAATGTTGTTGAAAAAATAAAAGACTTTGTAATCAAATCGAAATAAAACAATTGAAGGGATGGAGATTTTTACAGTGTATTCATTACTAGGGAATATAATTGTAAACTACCAAGATAGCAATTCCTTGTTGAAGATGAACAAGACCTGTATCGATTCTTCCTTGTACATATAAGCTACAGAAGTCGGCTCACGCCCATTGTCAGCACAGTGGGGCAAGTAGCCCAACATTGCCTTCTTAGAACATAAGACAATACAAAACAAACAAACAAACACCAAACACAACAAGAAACCAAAACGCTCTCAGTCTCGGAATTATTTCACCAAGTAAAAAGTAAAGAAAACCAAAAGAGCTAATCTATACCAGAACTCTCTACCGATATAGGTGGAAGTCAAAGAACCAAAAAGCTTACCAAAATGTAACCATGCATTTTGATACGAACTTCCACACTATGTCCAAGAAAAAACATGACAGATTTCAAGATACTTTTAATTGTAAGAAAACTGATGGGACGTGTACCTGCAACATCAGTAGCGCCTGGTAACAACGCATTGGTAGGAGGCGCCATATCAAAACCACTGATCCTTTTGCTGAAAAGACACATCGTTAGTACCAGTAGCAAAGTCATAAATTGTAGCAAATTTTAACTTTCGATGATCTATATGGATGTTAGCAGCTCACTGGGACATATGTAACACTAGAAAGGTTTCAACCAGATAAACATATGAAATAGAAGGGCATGACTAAAAATCAAACGGAGAAAAAGACGCTCATAAAAGAAATACAATACAAGGGGCAAGACCGAGAAATCACAAGCATTAAAAAGGACAAACAGTCAGTATCAAATACATTTTCAGTAAAAAGAGTGAGGATATCAAAGTCATCATAGCAGCTTTAACCTTTTGCAATAACAAAGATTTTCTGTAGCCAAATACCAAATCACCAACTCACAAGGCCAAATAACAAAATTTTCAAGTACTGTTTTAATCCAATTCCATCTATAACTCTAGCACTCATTATTCCCTTTCCAATTTGACAGATCAAAGAATACAATGACCAGTCTCACCAGCATTCCTGCAAATAACTATTTACTTCATGTAAAGGAAAAGCCTAACGTAACTAAAATGTCAAGACAGAAAACATTCATAAAGGAGCATTAGGACTTCAAAATTAACAAAAATATAATATCTCAATGCTCCGATAAGAAGATATAGGAGCAGCCGTAAACCTCTTGGATGGCGACCGTGATCGAGATTTTGATCTATGCTCAGATCTACCCCTTGAGCTAGGCCTGTGTCTACGTCGATCCTCTCTATCTTTGTCATTGT